CATTGCCACATTAACCACCACTTTTCGCAAACTGCTAATGCCACAACTTATTTGGCACCGGAGGCTCTTTTTTTAATTTTTTTATTTTCTGTTTAGTGGATATTAAGTGTGACATAAGGTACCTCTACAGTACATGCACTGACACTCACCGACACGCAGAGAGTTGAGACCTGCGTAGTAACACCAAGCAGATGGCTTCAGAAGGTCAGAAGCCTTTACTAATGACCGCGGTATGCTGTGATTCGCTGTTTGTCTGTGTGCAGCTATATTTCCTACTAACAGCCCTGCTGAGTGTGAAGTCCAAGGGTCTTTTCACTGTCTTTTCATTTACCAGTTTTTATTAGATTTCAAGGGCATTTTGTTAGAGCACTTGCCTCAGGGGATGTTGGACACTGATTGCCTGTAAAAGTGTGGGAGTGCGTGTGTGTGCTTGTAGGCATGTGTGTGTCAAAAAAAAAAAAAAAAGCTACACCGTGCAACAGAAAGCTTTACTAAAAGAGAAACAAGCAAAGCAACGATAAAGCGCGTTTAAGGAGAGGAACCCAGGAAAACGTGTGCACATGTGAGGAACAATGTCGCTGTGTACGTGTGTGTTTGTGTGTGTGAGTGAGATGGATAGCCTGTGGCCGGGGTGCATTAACTCTGTGCCAGATTGGTTACGACTCAGCAGGAATGTCACTGGAGAGCCGGAACGGGATTTAATTGCAATCAGAGAGCTGCCCCAGTCTAGCCGAGGACAAAAAAGCAAGACGCGGCAAAGCTCCCAGCAAACATTCATCTCTGTGTGAACGCTGAACCGGTCTACAGCTCGGCTCGGGCTGAGAGCCATTAATCTCACGGGGAGTGTTTAACAGGTGTGTGGCGAAAGGGGTGTTGACGAACCAGGTGGCCGCCTATTACCCTCACACTGCTCTGTTGACATTTTTGTCTCATAATTGTAAGGCGTGTAGCTCGGTGCGTAGAAGGGGGAGGTGGTGGGCGTACCTCAAGATGAAACACTGCGGGCGTCTCTCCTGCTGCATCATGTGGTAAGCTCGCTCTGCTGAGGAGAAGATGTGAGGAGGCAGAGACGAGCACAGGCGACCCGTAGAGCTCAGGTACAGCTGACTCACCTGAGAAAGAGGAGGAGACCTTATGTAACGTAGATACACACCCGGGCTGAGCGAGACGGGATAAAGTTTCAGCAAAACACCGAGAGCATAGCGGGTATCACTTTCTATGTGTTCATGTGAGAGAAGGTGTTTGGAAAGTTCACGAGAAAGTGTTGCTTACCAGGACAGACTTAACCAGACTTAACCAGACTTACCAGACTTAACCAGGACATTAAACCAAAAAACAAAAGACCTAAAACTGACACCATGCAACCCTATGAAGTCCCAAACTCCTTAGTGGAATTGAAAGGTATGTTATATTTATGAAATTACCAAAATTACAGAATTTATTAGTGTTTTATACTGTCAAAACAGAAATAATCATGTGATTTTTTTTTGGCATGGAATCTAAATCTAAAACTGTTATATTTCATCAAAATCACTTTATTCTACATGTCATCTTTAACCCTCCTATTACCTTCAAATTTACTGTCATCTTTTATCCTTGAGTTCATTTTGACCTCAGCAATTTAAACCTCTAGAAAATGTCATAATTGAAACTGCTACCCAAGTTTATGTGTAAATAACCCTTTAAATAAAACTGAAAAAATTATGTCAATTACTTATTTTGAGATGTTAAACATTGAATGTGATCAAATTGACCCAAAAAGCTAATAGGAGGGTTAAAACATATACCAGAAGAAAACTTTTTGTACGAATCAGATTCTGTAAAAAACATGAAACTCTCGTGCTCCTCGACACAAAAGAGAAGCCTTTAGTAGCTCAGCGAAAACTGAGGCGCAAATAGAAGACAAGCACGGAAACAAATTAAAAATGTAAGTAGCAAGATAGCTATAGAATATAGAGCCCCCAATTTTCCTTCAGTATTAGTAACACCTGTGGGCACTGGAGAAAATGTTCTACATGTGCTTTTTTTTCTTCAATTTTTGTACTTTATATATATATTTAGGATTTATGGTGTTATATTCCTGCAATACTGCACAAAAACACACTTGAGTTCTCTCTGCTTCTAGCCATGGTTGTGCTGTTTACATAGAGGTGCAGGACTTTATATTGAAGAAAAAACAAACCCACAGTTAGTAAAAATGCAACAGAAACTGCTTGATGTTTAGAGGGTTAAATAAACATGTGTTTATCAAGGCCCAAGTCTCATTTATTATCATTACCAAGAAGTGAAATTAAAAATCATCTGTTTCCACTGTGAGCTGTCAGATCTCTAGTGCTGTGTGAAAACACTGACACGCGTTTGATCAAGAAACTCAAAAGTAGTTGTGAAGATGTTTATTTTGGGATTTACGACTATGCTGTTTGGAGGATGTCACAACAACCAGATTCTAGGAAATTCTAATCTGGACACTTTTATTCCTCAGTTTAGTTTTATGTAGACAAAAGATCTGCTTCTACAAATACTTCATTTTCACACTTAAGTCATTTGAGATTTCACATTTTACACCAGACCCTCGAGCGAAAAAATATTCAAAGTTGAAAAACTTTCTGAAAACACAGTTTTCAGATTCATACCCAAGAGGAATAAATATAGAAGGTTGTGATTTTGTTCAACACATTTTAAGTATTCGGCATAAGAGAGTGAACCATCTGTTGTCTAACACGCTGAACTGTAACCTCCCTATGTGTGCCAGTGCTGTATTTGTGGCTTTGGAAAAGGGGAAGGGAGGATGGGTTGTGGACCAGCAGTCCAGAGGGGGTGACAGACGGCCAGCAGATCACACATGTTGTGACATATGTCCTTCTCACACTGGCTCCTCTCTGATCCTCCACACATCCTCTCTGCTGGGTATAGATGCCTGGAGTGAATCCAGGCAGAGGCAGGAATGGGACAGCCAGAGGGAGGCTTGGCTTCATTCTGTCAGGGCAGGAGAGGATGCCGCCTCCTCCTCCTCCTCTGCCATGCAAGCCCCCCTTTTGGGTCCACATGGGCAAGAATCTGACTGGCACTAATTCAGCTGCTTCAAAATGAATTATCTTCCCATTTAAAACAGGGTGACACACACTGTTGCTGATTGATAACGCAGCATTAAACAAATGATCATAAAGAATTAGAGCCTGTGCATCATTCGCTGACAGGCTCCTCTAGGTGCTTGATAAATATGCAGTTTTTAAAACATCTTTTTTTTTCTTCTAATGGAGACATAGTGTAACAACCTGAGAAGAAGTGGTGTTTGTGCTACCCAAACTGGAACCTTCCCTTTTTTTTTTCCTGGCTGATGCAGAGTCAGCCTTATGCTGTGTATCACTAACAGGAAGACTGCATTATTTATCAACCACAGGGTCCATTTCATCTGCCTTGCTTATGATACAGCAAACATGTCTCCTTTATGATATAACACAGCTTATCGAATGTCTTCTAGTAAATTCAACATTAGGATAGATAAGTGCAGCTTATCTTCTAAGTTTATGGGAAATGCAGGTCATTTAAATGCATGCTTACCAAGGTGGAATAGATGGGCAGCTCTTTGTTTGGATTGACCAGCAGGAGGATGTGTCCGATGTAAGTCTACAAAAGGAGCAAAAAAAAAACACATTTCAACTCAGCTGAAAACAAGAAGTAACATCAGAAAATCTTTTTGCGTGTGATGTGGCACAGTTCTGCTTTGATGGACCGTTTTGACATGAACAGGGCTGCGGCTGGGTTAAAATTACTCACAGGGTGCCTGAAGCGAACACTGACCTGGAATCAGAAGTGCTGTCCCACTCTGTCCTTAATGGCAATATTCATGGGGTTTGTGCCGCTACGAGGATATGTTAATGTCATGAAAAGAGAAAGGTCAAGGAGGCCGCTCCAGTGATAACCTCACTGATGACCTTTTTCTAATAAAGACAACAAATCTATCCTCCCACACACAAACCCCGAGGCCACTCAGATAAAAAATAACCAACTCCTAATTTCTGACCCTTTCTACTAAACTGCTAACCCCCCTTGTTTCTCACAAAGAAACCCCGGAGGCAGTTTGAAAGCCAGCGCTGTGTCCCCTGGGACAGCGAAGGCATTGCTAACATTGTGTAACATGCTGCTCCGTCCTTAGGCCCTGGCTCAAGGTTAATGACTTGAACAAATTCCCATTGCCTGAAGACATGGGGCAAAATTCACATTGCAGTCCTGTTTCTGTTCTTTTTTTTTGATAAAACTTCTTTGGGCATAACTTGAGCCACTTTCGCCCTGTAGTTTAATCTCATGACGCGCTTGTCAATAATCCAGCCTTCATCAGTTGCATCTTTCCCCAGTTCCTCGCCGCTCTCCTCGGGGATTAAGCGGTGGACGGGTCCTTCTATCCTGGCAGAAGGCGGCGACCACTCATCAAAGCCCCATCTCTGACCACCCTGCTGGGAACATATGGAGCCCTCACTGTCTTTGTTCTCCCCCCTTCGTTTCTGTCCTTCACCATATCTCTGCTCACCTGTTTCTTAAAATTCACTCTATTTCGCACATAAGGTCAAAATATATCAGCCGCAGACACAAGAAAGATCAAATTGAGAGGAGTCAAAGAATCCTTGATTTTGCTCATTTGATGGATGCTGTGAATCATTTTGTTTACAGCCAAGTCAAGCCAATATTTGCTTACCTGGCTCTGTTTATGAATACATTTGCTGCAAGCAGGAAGAAGCACAATGCATGCCTGTGTCCGATACACCTACATGTTATACAGATCAGGTCTCCATCTTTGTTAACTCAATGTCCTGTCTTTTCCAACGCTTCTTCCAAACGGACTCCACCTCCTACATCCGGCCCTCATTATTCTGAATTCTAATCGTTTCTCTTTTCTTCATCCACCACTTGCACTTCCTTTCATTGTCACCCCCTTATCTTAGTCTCCTGCTGCGACCAACCCTACTGTCTGCCGCCCATCTGGGTTTCTGTAATAACAGACTATTACTGCCTCTTCACAGAGAAGAGAGTGCACCGATAGCTCCACATTGATCTGGTTCCAGTCTTTATAGAGCTCCATCCCCATGGAGCCAGACTAGAGTTTTAAAGGAGAGGAGGAAAAAAAAAAAAAAAAACAGGGATATAAAATGGACCAATTGTTAGAGATGAAGGCATTTTACTCCAGAATATAGTTATGGATTTTTCTTCCCAATCGATCTAAATGATATTGATTTTGCAATTGTCACTGGTGTAAGTATGTGTGTGTGCATGTGCATGTGTGTGTGAGGAAATTAGGTACCACACTTACACAAGTCAGCTGGCTGGTAGTGAAAAAAGGAGGCGAATCAGCTCATGAAACTGTCTCATGTACAAACTAAGACTAATCAAAACATACAGTGTTGTTTGAGGGCAGCTGTGGCTCAGGTGTTAGAGCAGGTTATCCTCTAATTGCAAGATTGTCGGTTTAATCCGCCGCCCCTCCATAGTTGAAGTTTGGGCAAGACCCGAAGTTACTCCCAATGGCAGGCACCTTGCATGATGTATGAATGTGTGTGTGAATGGGTGAATGAGAAACACATTGTAAAAAAAGAAAAATGCAGACCATTTACCATACTTCCTTGTTTAAAGCAAAATGTTGCTCAAACAGGAGAAAATAGTAGATTGTTGCACATTGTTTCCAGTTCTCTATTCAAATAAATTTGGTCCTCTAGCAAGATTTAACAGCATGTTATCTTCAAAGAAAATTATAAATAAACAAAAATACCAAAATGATGTGATTTATCAGAGCCAGTAACTGTAAAAACAGAACAAAAACAATGGATTTAAAACTTTCTGACAGTCCTTAAACCAATCATGTACGCCGTACGGTTTTGTTGGGACAATTTACCTCATCTAATCACTTTATTGTAAATGTCTCATTTAATAGTTTGCCAAAAATAAACCATTTTCGCTGGATTCTGGAGAAAAGTGAAAAAAAAAAAAACATAAATAAATAAACAAATAAATTCTGCACTCCTCAGTTCAACTGAACAGCCATTAGTGCCTCAGCGACTCGCAGTCACGGGCAGAAATTCAGCGACTGTTTGGCTAAATTGCAGGCTGTGTTTACACAGAACAGAAAGCATTTAAGCAAATCAGAGAGATTGACAGCAAAAAATAAAACACAACTGAGCGATAAAATAAAAGCAGCACGTCTCAAAAACGGTACACAGAGGAGCAAGTTGTCAACAAGTTGTTGGAAGACAGATTAAACGTGGTGAAACATCTGTCTGGAGCTGATGTGCAAAGTAAAAAGCCAAGTTTGTAGAGAATCTACAAATGCAAACAGTAGAATATCAATAGCAGGTGAGGCCATATTTTAACAGCATTTGGTAACAGCTGGGGCTGCTGATTTCATTTTTTATTTCAATTTTCATTCAATAAAAGAAAAATCAAATAAATTTAACATTATTTTTCTTAATTATTTTTTTACATTGTAACTTTGTTATACCGCACGAAAGGCATTAGTGAGGTGCACGACTTTATATTGTCTTGAAAAATGAACCCACATTGAATAAAAATGTGACAGGACCAAATGAAAAGCCCAGAAACTGCTTGGGGTTCAGAGATTTAAGTCAAATTATGTGTCAGTGTGCTCTCTGTAGTGAAGGTACTTGGAACTGGGTCAATCGATGCAGCTAACTAACGTGTTTTTAGTGGCCTTCTGTTTTGTATAATAGACGACGTACATGATTTAGTTACAGTATAAAGTCCCTAGAATACCATCCTCTAACTGCATTCAGAAACATTCTTATTACTAGATGTGATAAAGATCTAATAATCCACATCCCAGCCTTCAGGAGAACAGGTAGCGTATTTGCGTTGCGCTGTGTGATGTTTGTACTTCACACTGCTTGTATATATGCCAGAGGGAAACCCACTGTTGAGCTCAAGGGTATAGAGATTGCGTGATGTGATCCAAACATCACACCCTGAAATTCCCAGACCGTAAACCACACTCCGCTACAAATAAACAGCTAGAGTGTCCCAGTTATGCCCGCGAGAGGCTGTGTTTGGTATCTGTGTGTGTGCTTTGGGTTGTGCTGTGTGTTTAAAGCAACACGAGCGAGGATTCCTCGTCAAGGACAGAGAAGCCTTACGTAGATTTGGTCGTTGCCAAAGCGCTTCTGCATCTCGTAGAGGAGGCTGCTGTCAGTCAGCTCACTGAGGGACGCCAGGTCGTCATTGGGGGCTGGAGGCATCAGCTTGACCTGAAGAAAATACATTTTAACTCAGAGTGAGCGGTCTCTAGTTATTCTCCACACATGTTGCAGATATTGGTTCCAATCAAACCCTTCTATTAGCCTCTAATTATCCTTCCACTGGAGACAGGGAGCTGCCTTGTAAAATTAACTCGAGGATGTACAAACGCATGTCTTTGGAGAGCTCTATGAATATTATCTGTGAAGCAGACACAACATGTGTTGTTTGCTGAAATTGCACAGAAATGGACTCGTCAGTACATTAACTCTATATTTGAAGTATGCAGATATGTTTCATTTGAAATAGACAATAACTTATAACCTCTTCTTATTCCATGAAAACAAGCTAAAGTAATAAATGTAATATAAGAAATCCATCTCCGTCTGTAACCCCTCTGGATGTTTGATGTTATCTGTGCACTTTACTGTCTTATTCAATTTTTTTTGCAACATATGAACTGTAAGAAGACGAGGTACCTGCTCCAGTTTGCTGGCTCCAGAGCTGAAGGGGCCATCTAGGCCATTATCCTGAGAAGGCTGTCGGCTCAGTGCTCCGCCTGCCTCTCTGAACATGGCACACTTCTCCAGCAGGCTGTCCCGCTTAGAAATAGATAGACCCAGGGGGTTTCTGTATGATAGATGGATAGTCAAGGAGTGGGGAAAAAAAAGACAAAGTAGAAGAAGATTTGGGGCAAAGTGGAGAACAAGTCAGAGGAAAAAACACGCTATACATTATGTGGAGTTAACGTTTATCAAACTGGTTTCCTACAAGTTCTTGACAGGAGTGTTGAGGTCGTGTGAGCCGCCATCATAGCGTTGGTCAGTGGAGGGTAGAGGAGCAGAAGGATCCTTCAGTCTCTGCAGCCAGCTCTCCTCCGCATTCAGCAGCATGTCTGCGATGGGCTCTGACACGGCAATATCTGATGACAGAATACAAGGCGGACTAGTCAGCGGAGAGATTTGTTGTAAAATTCACAGAGATAAGTTTAATTTGACACAGTTGTCAGAACCGCAAGCTCCCAAATAGATTCTGCACCACTCTGATGTTCCTCTCTGTGGTAAAGACGTCGATGAGAAGACACAGAGGTTGTGCTAATGTTGTTCGTTAAAGACTACAACACTCCACAGGTTCACCTTTCTGTTCTTTTAACATGCTGCCCCCCCTCACCTTCCTTCCCAATTTACAAGGATGATCCTTCACTGGTGCAGAATGCGCACCCCACTGTGGATCAATCCAGTTAAGATCCCCCCTTGTCTGTAATGAGGTCTAAGAGGGCACATGGGAGGGGAATGACTTCATCCTGTCTTTTTATTTCTGCGTGACAGACAGTCCCCTAGACGCCCATCTCTTGCACTGTCTTCCTCGCATCATGTGGCTGCGAAAGGAGGAGTGTGGGGCTTCGAGTGAAAAAAAGAAAGAGGTGTGGTGGCGAGGGGGGATTGTGTCAGTCTCTGAGGGCTTCTTGTCTCACATCTTCTCTAGGTCCACATGCTAGAACAAGCTATTGATTAAGAGCCGAGCGAGGCAGTCAGAGGCTTGATTAAATCGTGGGAGTAAATGGTTAGAGGCAGCTTTGACATTTTATCCAACAATAGAGAGGTTACAAGGTAAATCCAAAGGCCCCTGCATATGGCACAATTCATCACGATCACACAGGAAGCACCACTAACATTTACAGTGACTATATGGCAGTCAGCAGCCTGGTTCAAAAGGTGGCTTTATAATGGCTTTTTTTTTTTTTTTTTAATGTGCATGTTTTTGTGTAGGTTGCAACATTAATCAGGATCATCGGCTTTCAATCCAACCTTAATATCACTAAAAAATAATCTAAATATGTAAATGAATATCTCACCATCACACCTAGAGAGACACCAAGCACTTTACTGAGAATCTAAGCACATTTTGGGGAAAATTACACAAATATGAGCTATTACTCACTTTTTAGGAACAAATGCATTTACACATTTATCGGGTCAAAACTGTTGCAAAGCGATTTTTTTTCTGTAGAAAATCTGACACCCGCAATGTTTACATGTTGCCATCTTCTTCTCAGCTTTTCACTGGCACGGTTATATGTTTCTAGGAGTGTTATCCTCTCCAACTGTTGCCCTATAGAATAGCTCAAACAATATCAGCGTAGTTGTGGTCAGTCTTTGAGGTAAATGTCAGTCTCTCCCACCGTCATATTATGCGGTTTAATGTACAGATCTAGCTTGCGGCTGAGACGGTTTTGTCAGTTGAAAAGACATCTGTTGCAAATAAAAACGGGGTTTCTAGAATTACAACTACACCTCAAATTAGCGTCATTTTCTGATGGTAAATGTATGAATTGCAACTAATGAAGGCTTTCTTGAGATCTAGTCAAAACAAATTAATTAGCACAGTTTTAATTTATACCTCCAATGTCGAGTTTTGTATTTTTCCATTAATGAAAAACAATATATGCTTTTTGAAAGTGATATACTACCTTAAGCAAATTATTCAAACCATCCTCTTATAATTACTGCCAACATCCAGATTTAATCAGCGCACATATGTGTTTTAGCTGCGTACGGAGGCTGTTAATGTTTCCTGTCATTAAAAAAGTGAGGTCTCACTTGCAGACGCACACTCAGATATGCACAAAAAGGCTCACCAGAGACCTCATTTACTAAATACACTGCGTATGTGACTGTGCGTGCCCGAGTCTGTGTTTTATATTATCACAGTGATTATTAATGTAACTGAACAGGCTCAGTGGAACAAGACAAAATTCATTTCTCTGCTTTTTTTTTTTCTTCTTCTCTGCTTCATTACCTCTCACTTGCTCAAATGTGTTTGCTTCTTCCAGCTGCCATTTTTAGTGTGTGTGTTTGTGTGAGCAGGTGCCCATGTGTATATTTGTGCGAATGTGTAAATGCGTTACCGGAGGGCTTGTCTTGGTTGCAGTTCAGCAGAGTCGGGTTCGCTCCATGCCTTAGGAGCTGGCTAACAATGCTTGTCTGTAAGAGAGGGGAGAAACACGCAACGTCCATTTTCATTACATCCCAGAAAAGCTCAGTACAAGAACAAAAAAGGAAAAAGAAAAAACATTTTATTGAAGATTTGTATTTGCGTTTGAGGATCAAGGTCGAGGGGAGATGTGAAGGTTATACCCTCATTTACAGCTACAGTGAAGACAAGAGTCGATATGTAAATGCAGCAGGATATACCGTGACATTGACCTAGAATTTAAACACTAAGCAGAACATGCAGACAGTGTGTGTCACACATGACAGGTCTGTACAAGTGGTGCCTCTGACTGAGGAGATCCTTTAATAATGAGCCTATCTTCCATCACATGTCACAGCAGAAGAACCCCATAGTTGTCTCCCCTCGTTTCTACCCACAGTGACATGTGACAGCTGACACCTCTGTCCTCTATTGTTCTGTCTGCGTTTTCCTTTTAAACAAACAGGCTCTCCGTCACTGAATTCTGACTTCTTCTCCCTGTCTTTCCCCCTCACTCATCCTTTATCTTTACAGTCTTTTTGCACTCTATCTTTCAACACCTTTTTTTGTCTACGCAGAGCATCAGTTGCACCAAACATGCGATACACTGTGTAATCTGAACACTTGTTTATGGTGAAGTGATTTATTCAAGTATTAGCAGTGTGACTCAAACTACCATGAATAATTTTAAATAAAAGAATTTTCCTTATTTCCAAATGTTGAATAAGATGGCATGACGTCAGTTTGTAGACATTTACCTCCAATGCAACGAGCGGTGTTTAAAAAAGCGAGCTTTATACTGTCAATCATGAGCATATTTACATTTCTTTTTCTTTTTTTTTTTGCAGTTCCTGGTTGTATAAGGAATAATAAACAGTAAGAAATCTGAGCACTATGCTTGAGCTAGACTGCCACCCGATAAAACAAAAGAGTGTCCTTGAGAACAAAATAATTACATGTGTAATGTATTCACTCAATCAAAAAGACATTCCAGACACTTTAGTAAAAACCTAACTACAATAAAAGGGCACTCTACTGATTTTACATATCAATGTTATTTTACTCATCATCAAGGGAACTACTCCAGCTATATAATGTTTCTGGAGGTTTCCAAGACGTGAAATATTTAAATAAAGGTAACTTAACCAACTAACAATGAAAGATGTGGGCATTTATTTAGCAAGGAGGGTCTAATAACTGGTACTATCAGTTTTGTTAGGGGTTAGAGGTCTGGATAGTTTGGCTTCTGCTATGTTGACTTCTCTATTCAACTCAACTTCTGCAAGTTCCCAGACTTTATGTAAGTTTAATGCTAAACATACCAACAAACTTTTCTGTAAGTTCAAACTGCTCTGCAAGTAGCAGGAATTCTTTGTAATGCAGCACAGTAATAAGACATCTTCGAAGTACAGGGGAAAATGACTCAGCACATTCAGCAGAGCGACTCTGACCCATGCCAACAGCTGTTCAGCTCCGAGTCCACAGCGTCTCTGCTGCCCACAATCCCCGTCAGCAGCACTCGCACTCTATAAATACCGACAGCGCGTCAGTGGCACCACAAGATCTGAACCCGTCAGTGGGTCAGAGTTTAAAGGAGGACCGGGGAAAAGGTTATCAGTACACGGGGATCAACGGGGACACACCAACCTCAATGTTGATGTAGATCCACATGGACAGGGCACTTTTAAGGAAGGGTCCAAATGTCTTTTTTTAAATATTTGTCTGACATAAAAATCAATCATGAGATTAAGATTAAACCGCTTCTAAAATTGTTATATGAAACAGTTATATAAATGTTGCTGGTGCTACATTGCTACAGCTTTCACATGTACCTCCATTATGAGACAGTTAATCCCATCCCCGCCACGCTGTATTTTTACACCCTGTCATTTTTTTTTTTTTGTTGGAAAATCCAACGCAAAACTATTTAAAAATTCTTACCTCAAGAGAATGCAACTTGAAAAGCCCTGACTCAAACCCGGGAAGCCGAGAGCTAAGGTCTAACTTATCACAAGACCGAGAGAGGGAAGCTTAATTAGCTGCAGTAATAGGGTCATACATCTTCTTAAAGGGTCAGTCTAGTACGCATGCCACAGTGCAGGAGGGGTCTTCGGGTTTAATGTACCAGCTAGTGTTACGGTTGCCGGCGAGCGTTTCTAAGCAACAGTTTGTGTCTACCTCACACCAGAAACCTTCTTGTTAGTTGAACTAGTGATTTACTTGGCTGGAGATGCACACGTATCTTGGACTCATAACCCTGTAGTCGTATAGTCCTGTGTTACTCTTGTGTCACTGCCAGAGTAGCTATAAGAAGAAGGTGACACAAGGTAAATGTTAAGAAGGATCAGGAAGTAGTTTGTATGCAGGAGGCAAAGCAAAGGCACCAGTGAGGAGCCGATGGCTGAGGTGATTTAACACTGCAAGGGAAACCTAATCGATTCTCCAATCCTCTAGACTGCCACTCTTAAGTCAGATACACTTACATATCACACTCACACACACGTGTGCACACACACTGTGATTGTGTATGCAGAAAGTCTACAAACACAGGCCCAAGAGGAGGTTAATATTCAATTTTACAAAACTGTTGTCTCGGTCTGTACATTTAGGTCTGCTGGTTCATTATCATATAAGAACTGCAGAAAGGGATTGCATAAGAGGAGGGAAAGAAAAAAAAAAAGAAATCTGTATGAATGGAACTGGCTACAAGGTAATCCAGAGGAAGGAAATCATTTTTAAAACCCACTCGAGTGAGAAAAAAACATGGCTTGAGGACAGATGAACCAAAGAAGTCGAGAGCGACTCCAAATACCAAATGAAAAAATTCTCTTTGTCAGCAGCCAAGCGCACAGCCCAAAACGTAATTAAATATCTACTTGGGTCAGCAGGATCTGAATGTGATCATTTCCCCCTCTTCATAGTTGGACCCTCACCAAAACACCAGATCCCATTCATATCCTGTTCCAATAGCCCATCTGGAAATCAATCTCCTCTCCTCCAAGAGAGACTATTAAACTGCTAATCTAAGAGGCTGCAACACATGCATATACAGTTCTCCTCTATGCCAGCAGTTTGACTCTTTCTGATCAATACGCCCCAAAAAGAGCAGTTTATCAGAGTGCGTGCGAGGTAACTGGAGGCAAGTTTCACCGAGGAACAATCCGTCAATAGTTCCATCATTATTTCATTAACGGCTGCGTTCACATCGGAATCAATGCGGCTTGATGAGTTGAAATTGGGGTGTCGGCTAAACGAACGTCGAAAACATCCTGGCATTTCTGTGCAGCTGTCAGTTACCTGTCCATATTTAGCAGCCAGGTGGAGAGGGGTCCAGAAGTTGTTGTCAGCGGGATGAGGGTCTGCTCCACTATCCAGCAGCACCGACACCACCTCTCTGTAGCCACTGGCACACGCAATGTGGAGCTTCAGAGTGAGGGAGGAACAAAAGGGAGATGTAAATTGAGTTGTAAGGCTACAAATGTTGGTAAAGACAAGAGGAGAGAGGCGTTACTTACCAAAGTAACCCCATCACCGTTGGGCTGGTTGAGGCTTCCTCCCGTGGCTACAAGCTGTCTGACATCAGACAACATAGTGCTGGGCCTCTGTGTCTTCATGGCATGCATGGATGACACATCCACACCTTGAAAACACAAGTGAGAGACTCATGTTGAAGACAGTGATCAGCTGTCATGTGAAAACAAATAGTCTGACATTTTGGTAAAGAATATTATCAATTTCTTGCCAAGATTTTGTCATTTCTGTGCATTAAAATCAAAGCTAGAGTCAGAGAATGGTTAGCTGAGACTGGAACTGAATAAAACAGGGACCAAATTCAAAGGAAAGAAAAAACAGCATCATACATCTCTGTCATTTATTGAGTACACAACCTAAAATGTAAGAGTTGTATTTCTTATGGAAGGTTATGACTATTTACCAGCCAGGGGCAGTGACTTACCAGTTATCAATCTTCTTATAAGAAGCAAAAATGTGTACATTCCCACATGTCCAACTACTTTTTCTAAAATTCATCCAACAATCAGTTATTTAGAACAAAGCAGTTTAGTGAGTCACATCCAAGTGCAGGGTTGTGACACATTTTGCCCAGTTGGGACCAGTTTTCGCAGAGCTAAATTGCTTAACTGGATTTGGATGGAGTTGCTTGTGGTGTTTTATGGTTGTAGCTGTGTGGTGTTAGTGCTGAATTACGCAGCATATGATTGTTTGGAGGATGCTGGCCGTATGTTTAACAACGACGCTGAAACACCAGCCAACGATTCAAGGCCACTGTTCCTTGGTCGACACAGACAAACAGAGGTCTACAAGGGCATCTATCGCTGGCTATTAGGATCAATGCACCGATCCATAGGCTCACACACACACACGGTGGAACCAACTTTGGTTGCTGTAATAGCGTAGATTGATTATCAATCAATCTATATTTCACTCAGATAAGCTCCAGGGCACAAACTAATGGGACTTTTCCAAATAGACTGGTTGAATCGGTTAATCAATAAGTTTGTCTTTGCAAAACAAATGAGAGCCCCGGGGTTTTGGAGGTGTGCAAAACATTCTCATTGAAGCATTATGGCAACAGAAGAGAATTTATGGTCTCCACACTGCCAAAGCTTGTAGGAAACATAAAACACAAGCCACTCAGGATGGTAGAATTACAGTAGACTCTGCAGGAAATTTATGTTGTGGCAGAACAGGAAAAAACAAACAGAAACACCTTTTTATTTTTACCCATTTTCTTCCTCGTGTACAGAAACATGGACAATCTGGGTTTTTTTTTTTTTTCCCATAACCACATAAACTTGAGGGGGAATAGAGAACTTCCAGCCAAGTTGCTATAGCAACAGAGAGCCTGTGTGAGTAAGAGTATGTCTCATGGTGGCAAAGCCATCTGATACCCCACCCACCCAGAGGAGCTGCAGGTAGGAAGGAGGGAAAAGATCACCACAGGGGCCGACACATAGAGGCAAATCAAAAAAATCCAGCGCCTGGGGAGTTACAGAATTAGTCTTTATTTGTGTGTGTGTGTGTGTGTGTGTGTGTGTGTCGGGGGCGGTCTGAGCTTTGATGAGTTAGCTGTCTGCAGTCTGAAGCCTGCATTTGTCATGTGATTCAGTGCAGGCTCATGTGTGGCCAATGGCAGATGGATGAGGGAAAACCCTCCATCATTGTCTATATCTGTTTCTGTCTAGCTTTGTCAGCATGATTCCCGTTCCTCTTTCACTGCGCGTCTCTCTGTATTTCTTTGGCACTTTTCCCAGCTTCTCCCTCTGTCACTCTAATGTCTCTGCCTCTACCACTTTCCTCTCCCTGTGCCTTTATCGTTTCTATTCCCAGCTCCAGTGTTGACCTTCTCTCTTCTCTGTGGGAGGCAAATGCCCCAATCACAATTTGCCATCATTAGGCCTGTGGGTGTACTTCACCTTCATGCACACACACACACAGAACATCTCATGTTTAACTGCAGGTAATGCATATTAACCATTTACATCATGCTAAGCCTTCCAAAATGAAAGATTTAGTTAAATATGTAGTAATTATGCTTAATAACGTGACAGGAAGTGACTAAGAAGAGCTAGTGTGGAAAACACCCTTCTAAACTGCAGAGGTTTGCCAAGATGACACCATTTAATGTAAACTGTAAAAACAGAAAGAATCCTCAGATTTTCAATTTTCCAATGGTCTTTGAAGTACTCATCTTTTACATGCCATTGGGATACTTAAGCAAATCTAAGCTTCTAGTAATGATAATAATCATTCTACAAATCTCATTCAAAAATCCCCCCCAAATAATCCATTTGTTCCAGCCAGTTTCTGTAAAGAACAAAAAAATATGCCCATCTTGGTGCAACTAAGAAGCCTTTAATGATTTAGCTGCCACCAACAGTTAAGTCATAAAAATTCAAGGTCTTTTTGGCTTAACTGGGATGAACTGCAGGCTGTACATAAGAGACAAGTATATAAACAAATAGAAAATGTAAGTAATACAATATCTATCAGTACTTTTTCCCCAGGATTAGTAAAATATGTGGGTGATTGGAAAAATGTGGTACAATGCTGACTACATTGTTTTTTGTTTTTTTCATTTTTTTTTTTGTGAAATAACTAATTAAAGAGATTCTGCTTTTGCTATTTCTTTTGCGTGATTTATGGCTTTGTAACTTTGTTGTACTCCACAAATAAACTTTTTGGGAGTTCTTTGGGAGGTGCAGGACTTTATATTACAGTGAAAAATGATGCTTGGGGTTTAGAGGATTAAATATGAAATTCTAACATTACCTCTCCATTTTTCTCCCACTGTGCGACACAGAATAAACAAGAGGTGCGCAAAGCTTTACCATTTTCCTCCAGGTATTTTCGGAGGATATAGCTGGTCTCTGTTCCCTCGAAGGCGTAGTCCAGAGGAATGTTTCCGTTGATGTCCTGAAGCAGAATGTTCACTCCAGCCTTCCAGACGCAGGGTACAAAAAAAAAAAAAAAAGGTTAGAGAAGACACAAACAAACTGCGTTTTAGCTTGGGCCATTCATCAGACTTGAATCGATGATAAAGTGGGACTAATTATCTTGGCTTCCCAGAGGCGTGTACGTGAAAAGAACCATGGAGACGTTAACTGACAATACAGTGAATTAAAGAACTCATTAAATAACCGCCTAGGGGGGGTGGAGCGTAAAGAGTGAGGGCATTGGTTACCGTTACCAGGTATCGTCCAGGGTTAGCGTGTGCATGTGCGCGACAAGATTAATGTGTATTTACTCAACAAGGACCCTGCCAGAGCAGTGTTCTGTCATAGCATGAGATAACACAACAGGCCTTCCCTTGGGCTCCTTTAATGACTCTTACTCTGACGACAGCGTTGGTCACAATACGGTTATGATAGATTGCTTCTCTTTGGGGGAACTCCACTGTGCTCATTATTTGTAAAAATGATGCAGTAAAGCAGAAAGGTGTGCAAGCAATGCAATATGTACAACCAGCTATAGTGACAGGGCCTTGCTGCTGATACATATATTTTTTTTCTTTGGGTTTAGGTACTACAAGTAACACACAAGTGGCAATTGTCGGCATCCAGCCACAAATGGCTTCCTGTTGTTTGACTTCACCATAAAAGACAAGCCAGTGTAACGATCATAGCTGGACGAGGCCTGATAACGGGGCTGGGGGACTCTAAGTGAGGGTCCTTGTTTAATATTTACAGCTAATAGAATTCTAACGACCCGGTTGCAGTGTGGCAAAGAGATTTATGACCCAGTCCTTAGGCGGACGGAGAGGGAAGGGGTGGGGAAAGTAAAAAAAAAGGGAATAAGAGGGCTAAAAATGCGAGGAGGGAGCCAGCTGACAGAACAACACGAAAAACCGTTAACCTTAGTGCTCCGAAAACCAATCAGCAAAACCAAGAATCTTGAGTCTAAAAACCTCAAAGCAACCTCAAGCTTGTCTATTGATTTATTATTTAAGTAGCTGATTTTTTTTTTTTTCTTCATTCCAGCTCCTAAATATGTTTTGCAGCTGCACAGAGGAAACAGTTTTGATTCAAAAAAAGAAATTACAGTGTGATAAAGTCAGAACAATGCTTTCGGTCCAATTATCTGTTCTAGTGAGGTTTACAGTTTCATTGTGCACCCATCTGTGTTATCTATTGGGAGCTGTTTTCGCTCACTTATGAGGGTTAGTTAGGGGTTAACAAAAGGAATTAATTAACATTAACAACTATCAGCTGCTGCTTCATGACTATTCATAGAGGGGAGAAAATAAAACAAGAAACCTTATCGCACTGTGAAGCGTGGCTTAAAGAGCAAGAGATGAGACGATGAGTGCGTCGGAGGGAGAGCATATTATGAGAGCAATATTATTAAACCCTCTCTGCCCACCCCCAACACCACACATGCGTGCACATACACATTCCACCTCCACATCCCTCCCATCACGATGTCATATTTGGACTGCTCCTTCTATATTCCCTCAGATGTGTGCTTTGCCTCCGAGCAGTAATCTGCAAAACTTCCTCATAAACCTGACAGCTCCTCTCAGGGTGCCTCCGTTCACATACGTGTGCATGCACACCTGTGTGTGTTGCATCATGGGGGGGGGGCATAGGGCTGTGCTAACCCGGACAATTCACTTCAAGGTCTGGTAAAAGTCAATAGGAGTCTGTCTGGATGAAGTTATCAGCTGACAGACAAATATATCGTACTCTGGCCACGAGGCCGCACTCACTGCTTCACTTAAAGCTGCACAAAAAGCAGCCGGACAATCCTTGTAATGTATCCGGTGCTTGCTGCGAATGTGAAATATTCATAGTCAAAATTAACATTCCGCAATAAGACACAATCCTGCGACAGACAGTGTTGTAAGATGGTTCTTATCCCGGAGCTTTTCTTGGTAAACCGTCACAAGACAGTATCCACTGCAAAAACCTGCCATCCTGAGCTTAGCTGTACGTAATCCGACAATAACCGAAAACTGTCACTAAAGAAATAATTGATTTAAAGTTCCATTATGGCACACAAAGCCACCAGACACAGATTAAAGTGAAGAAAGCACGATGTGTGGGCCATTTATTCAGACACATAAATCAAATGTCTCAGTTGGCATGATAAGTGCTGACAGATATAAATGAGCTGGAGCCTTTAGCATTAACGCACGATACAAGGGGTTAACAACTTGACTTCTGAACCCAACGCGACCCAGCCGCAGCGTGATGGATCCACCCAGGACGTCCCAGAGATGGAAAGCTGTTAATCCCTTGGCCCCCTGTGGTTCATACTAATGGCAGTTGTTAAACACAGTGACTGCTAGAAAATCAATAACAACTAGTAGATATGTACTGAAAGCTGTCCCTTGGGCCGTCACTGCAGAGCCGGACACCTTCACGGCAGAAATCCAACCAGCCACACACGACGAGTCGCACGTCTCGCACGCGTGTGATGGAACAACAGCCTTCTATGTTAATCAATGCAGCTGTCTACACAGCCGGCTGGCCTGTCATGCGAGCTATACACACATACCAAAGTGTATTTCTCAGCTTCAGGTTTATTTAGCGACAAAGAAATGTACTGGAGGCAACATGTTTTACAACTGAGAAATGCTCATATTGCTCTTCAGTGATTGCATGCGGCATCTGCTCTGCACAGTGTTGTGATGTGATGCTAACAATCTCGCCTGTTGGACAAACTTAATCGTGCTATTTCTAAATCACCATAACACAGCTTTCTTCTGTTTTATGATGCTGCCTTTGTTGCACATTAAACACAGGCAGATACTGACACAAGGATAAGACCGTAGAGTCACAAACACTGCACAAAACAAAATATATACAATCGTGACTCGATAATCCGACACTAAATGTAAAACCCTCTTTTATGTCGGATAGCAAGGCTGTCGGATTGTCAAGACGGAGGTCGAGATACAAGGAGGGCTTGATGCTTAAAGGGTTGTTAATATTTATTGTTTATAGTTGTTATAATAACTAGTGTATTGTTAGAACACAACGCGTCCCTGGATTTCACGCCTAATTGACCGGTGCGCTTGTGCACGTTCCAGCCAATTCCACCCCGGGGTTGCACTCTGACGGGGTGGAAGTGGCCGGAACACACGTGCTAGTTTAGAATAACACAGTTCTGTTTCCACCAATGGTGGCGGTGGTGGGGATACGCTCCACCGTTACCATCCATGTTTACTTCTGTAAACACTGAGCTCGCTCTGTGTATGACGTCGTTGTGTCCTCGTCTGCTCATGCGGGACACTTTTGGGTCGTTCACACAGCAGATCACATACAAGTCGTATTTAATTGGAAATGTGAACAAACTTGCAAAAAAAATCCGAATTGAGCATTAAGTCCTGCAGTCTGAACGTAGTCAATCTGTTGGATTGTTAAGTCAGATAATAAACCGTTATCCTTATTTGTGACATAAAATGTCACGTCGGAGTCTGAATCCAAGGCTGTCGATATGTTATGGCTATTTTCTATGGGTTCCGTTTGTTTTTCCTAAAAACCTGTTGGATAGCAAGATTTTCGGATTGTTAAGGGTCAGATTATCGCGTTACGACTGTATTCACATGTGCATGAGCAAGTTTGTGCAAAGACCTATTATATTACATTCCCTGATGATACTGCAACACTTTTCTACAAACTGCAGATTCGGGACTTAAAACAGGTCAGACACTAGAGTTGTTGCAACATTTGCTCAGTATGCTGCTGTCATGTTTGGAGGAGGGACAGCTAGATTATTAGCAGAAAAACCAGCAAAGATTGCAACTGATGTGAAGTGGAGTTCAGTGCAGCCAGAGGACTTGCACAGTAAATCGTTTGACTTCAAAGGACTTCAGAGTTCAGGAGTTTTAAATTCATCGTTGACAAGCATGGAAAGTGGGTCAATTCCACAACTGTACCCACGCTGGGTTTTTAACAGTAAGACAGGGGGGGGGGAGAAAAAAAACATTTTGGAACAGAACCTGTTTCCTGGGGATCGCATAATTGCAGTCTGCTTGTGTGCAGCTTTAATGATTAAAAGCCAGAAGTACGACATGACAGAGAAGCAAAGGAAAGAAAAAAGTGCATTGGTGGTTCCAGACAGCAGAATTCTCTTTATACGTTTTCCAGTAGTTCATATAGTCCACACTGTGTCAAAAGGTAGACAGGCTCCGATGCAGAATTAGACGAGCCTGCAATTAACATTTATCACTTCCCACGTCTTTTTTTTTTTCTTCCTGTGGTTTGATAAGAGATGAAATGAGAAAGGCATAATTGAGCCACTAGAAGAATTAAGATTAAGTATCTTGTGGTTTTTATTAGAAGTTCAGCCAAGATGTAACACACAGAGATCAAGAACCTGCATTAATGCATCCTGATGTGTGTACATGAGCAGAGTGTAATAAATCCCTGGACACTTACATCAGTATGTGAAGGCAGAAAGTTTGGTCTGGTTTTGTTTGATAATCGGACTTTTTTTTTCGTCGAATATATTACACGAATATTTTAGTGGAAGCTTTTATAAAGACTACACACCCTGTCGTGTTTTTCATTCGCTAAGTAGCAATCCACAGTGCCCCTGAACTGCTAGTTAATCCCACCAGGGTCTCAATAACAAACATTAACCAGAGCTGGAGCTATATAGGTTTAGGAATGGGTTTGGAAATGGGTTGGGAATGATAGAGTTTAGAAATGGCTGACTCTCCTGCTGTTTGGAGGCAGGAGATAAGAGAATTAACATTAGCGCCAATCCGGATGCAGAGCAACAATTCACGCAGACTTCTCTTCACCCTCCCCAACCACCCTTCCCCCCTCCTCTTCTTCTCCCACAAGACAAGCTTGGTAACATCTCTGTCAGCAAAAAAGAAAAAAAAAAACCCACTCTGTTCCTCTGTGTAGCAAACGGAGAGAGGAAATCAAGGACAGAGAAGCAGAGGACAAGGGGAGGGGAAATGCAGAAAGAGATGGTGGAGTAGGACACAATAGATTAGTACATATTAGCGGGACGATTCCTTCCTGTGCCAATCAAAGATAAGGGTGCCAGTCAAGCTCCACTATCAAGACCATTGTTCCGTTTCCCATTAAAATTTAAACCGTTCTGAGGGAAGATCTCCCACTTATAGCAGTGATGAGGCAGCAGCTCGAGAAGGGAGCAGAAAGACTGGGTTATTGGCAAGGTCTGCAGTGGAGGAGATAGGTGTCAAAATGAATAAATAGAAGAAAACGGGATATTACATCTCTATCGTAAATATGGCTTGACGGAAGCTATTTTTACCATGGTAGACAGGAAGAGTGCCTTGGGCTCATGTTTCAGAAACTATCATCCCTCGCTGATTCTACCAGGAAAAAGAAACTCAAGCGTTTAACTTAGCCTAAAGAGAAAAAAATGCACCCGAAGCAAATTCGCACCACTTTGGAAACTGGAGCGTTTGAAATGTTGTCTTACTTGGCTTGTCTCCCCTCATGCAAATGCTGACACAATCACACAAGCATGCACCAGGGCACGCTCACATATAAGCAGAAGTAGAGTCAAGTAAATAAACCTTTAGTACCAAAGAACACTCGAGCTGTGAAAACAGAAAGTGTCTCGGTGTTTGTTGGTAGAGTAAGCTGTAAAAAAAAAGAAGAAGAAAAAACAGGGTTTGAACTTTTGACAGTGTTGAATCCGATTTTTGAATTTCTCTGAAATGTTCTCCCTCTTTATGTCTTCACCTCTTGCACTCCTCCAGTAGAGTTCATTTCTGTGTCAGTATGGCCTAATTTACTAGGAACTGGCTCTGTAGTAAACGGGAGACATTTAGTTACTGCCTCCCATGGGAGCAGTTTTACATCGCTCTCCCCTTCTCATGGTGCGGCCCATCATGAAAACATAACTCACCACATTAAATTGCATTTGGCATATCTATATCACACCCCCCTCTGCAGATGAGGCAGCCTGTGTGAATCTTTGCTTGGAGGGGAAATAAGATGCATGCAAATACACAAACACTTAACACATACATGAACCCAACAGTCATCCATTGGCTAACACAGTCATCCTGCACACCCTTTGCCTGGGAGCTCTTCAAACGTATCCATTCCTCACAGGACCATGTCTTTCCTGCCCCACAGACAGGAAGCAGCAATCACTCAGGACCCAATCAGCAGAGCCAGGCTGTGCAGGATTCTGCTGAGCTCAGTCGGGCCTCCGCGGGTCTAATCAGAGCAGACCCGACCCAGAGTGACTGGGCTGGATGTGCGTGCCCTCCCCTTGCAGCTGGCACGCCTCTCATTACGGACCTAATCAGTACAACCACAGCTCTTGTCAAGACATCCTCTGAAGAATAGGCCCTCTCTTTGATATCATGCTAATGCGGAGCTTCTAAATATTCTCCTTTTCAGAAATTCAGCTGGGTTTGTGAGAGAGTGGAAAGCTGTGTTTCAGGGATACAAAAGCACCGCATCAAGGACGGAAAATTCTTGATGACTAATGTGAGCAAGAGCCGGTAGTTCAAAGGTAATTCAGAACGAAGCTTGGACGCCCACCAATTCCAAAACAATAATCTAATTTGTAGCTGGCGCACTTGGAATTGCAAGGATCAATAGGAAATCACAGCTCCCTCCTTTTGCAAGCGTGTCTTTGCACATCTGAGTGTTTGCAATCCCCATCCCTTCCAAGATGTTTATGTTGGCGTGCATTTTCCTCACCACCAGCAGCAGCAGCACCACGTCTGCGTGGTCACACACACACGCTACGTGCAGGGCTGTCCACAGGTCCTCGTCCTGCAGGTTGACATTCAGGCCTCGCTCGATCAGAAGCTCTGCGGCGAACACATTGTCATGGCGAGCGCACTGCGGGAAGCGAAGACAGTAAATCACCTTTTAGTTAGTTTGCAGAATATAGCATATTTTCAGATCCATTGCCAACTATAAACACTGTGCATGAGTAGTTTTAGCGCATATGGTATCATAATTAATGAAAAATGTATCGTGGCAGCAGCGGTGTTAATTATATTCACGTATTGCCACAGGGGGGTTTGCAAAATGCTAATGATAAAGGAATAGAGACGAGGACAGCACCATGTTAAAGAACGCCATGCTGTGAGTTAAGGCTGAATTATGAATGATGGAATTATGGGTACAATTGGATTATTGTTTTTTAAAAAAAAAAAACCTTTGGGTGTTTCTTACCAGGTGCAGCAAGGATCCCCCAGAGGAAATGGGAGCGTTGGGATCTGCTCCCTCCTTCAGGAGTCGCAGCACTGCAACACAGCAAACATCCATATGTTAGCACCTGCTGTAAGTGAAGACAGGCCAAGCGCGCTGGAGGCACCCGCAGCAGACACAAGCACACACTGATCCGTGACACTCACTATCAAAACCAATAAGCGTCCTCTGACTTGTCCTTGATGTGTCAGTGCGGATCAGCGTTTGGCCCGTGTGTGCGTGGTTGGTATCTGCGTCCTCCAGCGGCAGGTCAGAAAGCCTCTGGGTTTACACGCATTCCCATCACATGCTATAAGCTCCGGCGAGACGCAACAGCACACTAACACACTGACACAGATCTACTGAGAGGAAACACAAGCGAGTTCACGCCGTCAGCCGTAGACAGATGAGGAGACAGTAGCAGGCTAAACAAGGTCACCGAGATTTTACCATGCAGTCGATACTTTTTTTTTTTTTTTTATGGAATACGAGAGAATACAGCCATGAGAGAGCAAGAGGGACGACATACTGGAGTGTACGACAGATAAATAGAAAGTGATGGACAAAAAAAAGAGAGAAGAGAGCGAATGTTGAGCACTGCAGTCTGGAATAGCACACAGCTGTCACACAATCCAACTACACACCACACACACACACACACACACACACAGAGTCTTTAAGTGAAACCAATGGCTCTGAGGACAGCAGCCATATTATTTCTAGATAATGAACCCTGCTGATGACCCTCCAGAGGTCATTTCACTTACGCAGACAAGTTTAAATAACCTCTTCCAGCCACACACACACAAAACCAGGCACATTTTAAAACAGAGCATATACCACGGCTAATATAAACTGGAAGACCATTCTAGTATTGTGTATATGGGATTAAAAACTGCTACAGCACATTACAACAGTGTGCAATGCAATAAAAAAAAATAAAAAAAATATTTACACAATATAGTCTCACTGACTACTCAAGCATATTTTTAAATCAACACTCCTTGAACACAGTAGCAATAACAAGTGAACCCGTATCGCTCTATTTATGACTCATTAACTTTGATTAACAAGCAGCAGCTGTTACACTGATACCACAGATCAAATGCCAAACTTTTCTTCTGACTGATCCTTCAAAATGATTAATTATTGTTGCATAGCGACAAAGGCATGAGCATAGTACAGTATGACGAAAATACAGCTACATAATCCACAAATCCTACCATGAATTTGTTGTTTTTTCCCCTAAACTGCCCCCAAAATGTGTGTGCATGTAAGTATAGGTTCATTTGCATAACGTGTACATTTTTTAACCATGTCCAGTATTTCCCCGTATCACTGCACACTATGATGCAGTGCCTATAAACACACACACACTTGAATGTGTCTCAAGTGATTGTAGTATAAAGACACCTGGATGTGGAAGGTCTAGTACTGATGGCTACACAATGAAGACAAAAGAACACGCCATGCAACTCAGTTAAAAGATTATTGAAAAGCATAAGTCAGGGGATGGATACAAGAAGACTTCCAGGTTAATGGAATATCCCTTAGAATACAGTTAAATTCATTATTGAGACAATAGAAAGAATATGGCACTAATGTAAATCTGCCTGGCTACCAAGACACCTATGACTACCTGTTTTTAAATGATCTATTTTTAATTAAAGGACAATACATTGCAGAAATCTGCATTCACTTTGACATGAAAGAACATTTTTTGTCATGTTTTTGTAATAAAAAGAGAAAAAAAGACTTAAATTGACCATGATTCAATAAAAAAGAAAAACTTCAAAGGAGAGTGAATATTTTTATAGGCACTGTATGTTATAGCCTAAAAGTAGCTTGTTATTAGAGCTAAAATTAATAATAATCACATTAGAAAATTAAGAAAATTAATGCCAAATAGGTGAAAGAATAAACAACAACCATCTGCTTATAATTTGCTATTTCTGTTATTATCAAGTAATTAATTTAAGATATTGACAAAAGAAAGCATCCAATTTCACACACAAGAAGCTATATTGAGCAATTGTTGGCTTTAATTACTGCCTTTTTTTTGACATTTATCAAACATTAATATTGCGGTTTATCTTCTGTCAGTTTACTAATCGCTTAATTGACATATCATTTTAAAAGCTTTGCACATGCACACATGCCCAACAGGCCAAGCACATACAATAAAGAGACATTACATCCGTCCTCTAATGGCTTTCAGCTCTTAATGGCCTTTAAATGGTTGATGAGAAACAAACTGACCAACCTTGGAGCCAATCAGAATAATTATCCCCTCATTTCTCAACATACTGTTGGGGATCAGGACTGTAAAGCACCAATTAAGGCTCATCTAATGCTAAAGTAGTTACTAGGGAATAGATAATGCTCTTGCTTTCCTGTCTATCAAACAGTACTGTTCATTTGTGAACATGGGAGTTGTAATATTTTAAAGTATGCATCTTAATACAGATGCACTGCGATTTGAAGTTTGGTGCAGTTTTCTTGGTCAGGAGAATCTCTGGTCTGTTAAATTTCCTATCTGTCAGTCAGGATGAGGCTCTGATGGAGGAACCTGCCTGAGTTTTATGGCACGTTATTGAATGTGTCTAAAGAGAGGTCGAGGGTCAAGAGGTAGATATTGACCCTTACGCAGTAAAAGCAAGAAAGCAAAGTGTTTGTCTGGCATTATAGCCATTAGGAATCAATAGGACAGTTGTACCATTGGCAGATTTCTAGGACCAACAACCAGGTCCATCATTGGTAGTGAAGGTGCATTAGCCATATGTTTAGTTTACTTATCGGCTATGCAGGGGCTTTAAAGTTCTGGGTGTCCATGTAAACACTGATTCAGGTTTTGTTGGTGTCGTCATTCCTCTTGTTCATACTG